AAACCACGTAACACTTTGCAACGTGACTCAAATCTTAACATCATGTTTCAAGTAGTCACGTGCTATATCTAGCCACGTCTAGCAGTACTTAGTACAACTAGCAAAAACAGCATCTTTAGCAAATGCTTGGAATCGCTACCAAAACTTAGCTAGGTCGAACACTATACCTCCACAGATAGTTCGAGCATTGCGTCACAAATGCAAGCTTCACACTTTTCTAAATGCTACACATCGTCGAAGGGGCTCAGAGGTTACATCTTGCAACAACGCCATTATATTTGTAATAAAATTATTCATGATCCCATCTGTGGCAGCTCTTTCGTGGCATTTTTGTCATTTTTTATGCCTTGAAATTTAGAAAAGAAGCCATCCTGTGTTTCAAGAATCAAGATTTAAAAAAAATTACCTTTAAACTGTCTGTTTTCTACGGAAATTTGTCTCAGCATTTTGCTTAACGCACGTTGTAGCTGGTTTACCATGGGAATGCCAAATAAACCATGATTTTCCTGTATTTGCTTCATAACTTATATTTTCAGTGCACTCTCGTTCAGTTTGAGGACAAGACATACTCACACAACTAAAACAGTAATAGTTGTTCAACCACCTTATTTCAAACTGGTGAGCTGTAGTATCCCAGTCAGTCAGATGCAGTTAGAAATAGACAAAAGCAATCCAAAATCACGAAGCTTAACCGTATTGTTTTAGGCTTCTTATACTAGCGCCACAATGCGCATGCGAAGCAGTGCGTACAAGAGCACAAGGTGGGCAAAAGCAAATGAAAGTGGTGGTCGTAATCACTTCTGTGTTCCCGTATTGTTCCCGCTTTGGGCATTGCTTTACAAAGATTTTATTTCAAGTCATCCACTCGCCCAACAGTTGAACTTGATGTACTTGTAGTAGCATGAATAATTGGGATATTTGGTATTGATTCATATTAGGACTGAATAGGCAGCGCACACTGACACGGACACAAGAAAAAATGACATAATGAGCGCCTAGTCAAAACTACAGTTCATAGGAAAGACAAGCGTGTGCATATATATCACTTTTAGCACATGATCTGGCTTGTGAAACAGCAGAAAAAGAAGACAGGCTGATCTTGAGAGACATTTTTTGCGCCTTGTGTTTTTTCTTCTTTTTACAATGAAAGGTGTTAACACATCACAATGGCAGTGGGTATCTGTCCGCCCCCAGTGGTTTACGTAACCGCTATCACGCAAAACAAGAAAAAAATATGATCAGAAAGAGATATACTGAAAAATTCGGCCGCCCTTACTGACACCAAGCACAAAGCAAACCAAGCACCAAGCATCTTACATCAAGCATTGCAAATCCATACCCTTAACCTCACTTCTAAAGATAAGAGGATGACATCAATCTGGGTGACATATGCTACCAGTGACGGCTGTTAATTGTGGCTGCCATACAAATTATATAGCAGATGGCCATTGCACTAGCTCTCCTTGATTCACAGAGAACTGATATTAATACGGACTGTTGTAAGCCTTCGCTTCTACTTCCAAGTGTAAGAAAGTTTTTAGAACGCTCGCCCACAAGAAACTTATCCACCACACTATTATTTGGTTTCCTGCTTACCTTGACTCGAAGCTACGGGGCTTTTCCAATGTCAATCATCTAGCCCACTTCAAGGCTGAAGGCTTCACTTACCAAGCTGGGACTTGCATGGTTCTCACAGAGTAATCGGCCCACAGCCTTCGATTTATGGACATTTTGACTAGCTTCAATGAGATCACAAGGTACTGTCAATTAGGCCATAGGTCCTTTCCACTGCCACACAAAAAATTGTCTAAGCCACAGGCAATCTACCTTCGTATGCTTCAGATGGGAACATACCCCAACCTCGTAACCTATTGCTCATACTCCGACATTTCAGAACTTTGTCCGGACTGTCACGATCGCAGTGACTTTGGTCACATTCTCTGGAGGTGCCCCTCTTTACAAAGAAACTATAAACAATTTTGGGAAAATTCCTTCCATTTCATGCTTAAGAGCCCGGTCCTCATACAACAACTCAAGGCTGTCCAGAAGGCTCACGATACTTTGGTCAGGCTAGACCTCCCAGTCCCTACGTGGGAGCGGCTCGCAATCCTACTTCTTTAAAACTAGGGTGGAATGCTTCAGGATCCCAAAAAGGTTTTCATTCATCGAACCCACCGCCTACCCAGTGGTTGGTAAGCAGCCACTCTGTGCTCTCCGCCATGGTGACAGTTATGGTGTTTGGGGCCCTTATGTATCACAGTGCAAGTTGTTATGGGAGATAACAGCAAGAGCCGATATTGGCGGTGCAGTTATGCGCTGCTACCAACGGTGTTTTCCGCCACCGCTACCGTGAGAAATAAAAAATATTGAGAAAAAAAATTTTGGGGAATGAATGGGATTTGAGGCTGGGCTCTTTGCATGGCAGTCGGGTATTGAACCACATAATGATGCTTGTGCTTGTAACTCCTTCGCAAACAACTCGATACAGTTGCCAAGTCTGGCAGGCAACCCCGTGAGCATGTGTGATATGACGACGAAGAAAATAACAACCAGTCGTCACGCCTACGTGTGTAGCAAGTACATCGCTATCCACCAAACAATGAATAATGGCATAGTGGGCCTTCTTTCCCTGCTTCATGAGCCCCGCCGCGGTGGTCAAGTGGCTAAGGTACTCGGCTGCTGACCGACAGGTCACGGCATCGAAACCTTACTGCGGCAGCTGCATTTATGGTGAAAGCGAAAGTGCTGTAGGCCCGTGTGCTCAGATTTTGGTGCACACCAAAGAACCCCAGGTTGTCGAAATTTCTGGAGTCTCCACTACGGCGTCTCTCATACTCATATGATGCTTTTGGGACGTTAAACCACACTTGTCATTCAACCAAATGCCTTCTTCATGACGTTTAGGATGGTGTATGACGTTAGGTATATTTGCATGTGCACATGCATTGTTTGCTCCAAAATTACCCCACAGTAGGCTCTGCAAAGAAGGTTGCTCGAGCTTTCGCTGTGACTGTGCTGCGTGTTCTGTGTAGGCCTGGTAATTTTTTTTTTGCTGTTTCACTATAGCCTGTTCATATGACAGAAATCATACAGATGTAGAACATCGTTCTCTTTCCAATAAACTGTTTCACTCATGGTGCTTGCGTTTTAAAGCGAAGCTCCTTAAGGCATGGGTCTGTCCATCTTCCAATGTTGTGCATAACCACCGCTCGCACATACCCGCTCTAGAGCGGGTATGTGCCACAGGGGATGTAAGATGTGAGATGGTGGTACTTGGAGTGTTCACTAGATGGATGCACGAACGAACGAATAAACAGACAAACTAAAATACGGACACACGGACGTATGGACGGATGGACGCAGGACAGATGGAAGGACACATAGATGGACGCACGGATGGTCGTGCGGATGGACGGAAGCAAGAACGGGCTGTCTGACGCTTCGCCCAACTCATAATCATTCACTCCGTAGATATGCTTTGATTTTTTTTCCTTCTTCTAGTGTGCGCGTCTGTGTGCGCACCTTATCCAGTATAAATTGATAAACTTGCCACAATATTTGTAACAATCGCTTAATTGATTTCGGTGTGCCAATATGTCTATGGTTTTTTTCTTGTTTTCTTTTTCCGCTATATCTACATATCTTGACGCTATAATTTATATTGTATGCTTCAAATCTTTCTTGTGTTTAGTTCAATCTTCAACGGTTGCTTTCAGCTGCAGGTGGCCCTAGCGCAGTGCTTCTGCAACTGACCGATCTCCTCGAAACCCCTACTGTCAAGAAGTTGCCATTGGCCTACGACTTCCTTTTTTATTAGGTGCTTAGGTAAGCACAAGGTCTCCGCCATTTATCGAAACTCCTTCGCTACTTAACCACGTATCCACAAATAATATTCCTATTTTTTGCTTTGATTTTGCATATTGGTTTTCTTGTGTGCATATGGACAATCACTCGGGCGAAATGCCTAACTTCAGATATTGTTGGTGAGTTGACTACTAACAGCTAGTTCTACATTCTGCAACCTTCCAATAACATTGAAGCGATTTACATTTTACCACATAATAGAACACCTTTTGCCTGCTTCGTGTGATGATATTATGGTTGAGATATATTTTCTCTCTAAAATTAGCATAGCTATCCTAGAATGGGCATGAAGACCTGAACTCTATCCTAATAATCGCGAATGAAATAAACTTTTGCTGCCGGAGCTACTTCATAAAACATCTCCGCTGCAAATGAGCTGTATGCACGCACGGGCGTCATTGATAGTAGCTGCACCTCCTAAATTATCACGTATGTGCCTTCCGTTGCTTTGAAGAACCGATGAGTCCTAACCCTCAAGTCAGCACACGTTATTTACAACTGAAGAACGATGGTCGGCCTTCAAGGCTGCTTCTTGAGCAAAAGAATCTTTACGAGGTAGCAAGCAGCGCGAAAAACAAGATGGACACATTTGCACACGAAGAAAATACAAGAACAAGCGTTGTTGATGTTTCTTTTTTTTCCTGTGTGACCACCTTGTTTATCACGCTGCTTTGTAACATTTATCCATGTCAAGTTGCCCTGCTATATACACTAGTCAATGCCTAGTGGTGCACATTCCCACATATACGATATAAAATGAAGATCAACCACAGCACTTTTCCTAGTATGTTAAAGATTACTTTATTTTTTTGCTGTACATTGCCACAAGTGTAACTAAAATTTATAAGACTGTTTTCTGTTAAGCCGATAACAAAACCGAAATATTCCTTAACAACGATGAATTCCGTCGTAAGCCGAAATACAGCTTCCGTATTCAATACGGGCTCCATAAGGGCTGCCAGGAGCGTAGCCTGCATTTTAACCAGCCGCGCCGTAGCCGATTGAAGTCTGGTCAACGTATTAAAGTGCAATAAATGGTGGTGCCCCTGCAGAGTACTCTTGACGCCCGTATGGGGGGAATCCATACGCTCCGGTAGCGCTAGCATAGGGGTTATATCTGTATCTTCCATACCCACTGTAACTCCCAGCATTGTAGGGTGCCGCCACTCTGGTAACGAAAGCTGCAGCTGCACCACCCTGCACATTTCTTGAGGTAAACGGTGGCACCACTGGTGCAGCATTAAAGACCGCGTCGGCGCTTGCTCCAGGGGCCGTCCCAGGCTCGTTCGTGTCCACGGTGGCGCGGAAGCCGTACGCGTCCGCCACGTAGTTCACCCTCCGATACAGGCCATTGGCATCTCGATAGCCGTACGAGCCGGTTTTGGCGTTGTTGGAGTCAGCCTGCTCGCTGTGAAACTGCCGGTTACCGAACTCGTCCACATTGTCATAGCCGAAACTGTACGGCTGAGGAGGCTGCAAGAGATAAAAAAATCGAAGCAATTTAGGCCCAACAAAAGCCATTGTGCAACAGATGCCGTTGAGAGTCCACAAAAAGAATACTGCAGGATGTTTTCTGCTGAAAACTGGAGCTGGGCTTATATAACTATCAAGACGTTATTTGCTTGGTTTGTGCGCTTTCCGTAGAATGAACAAAAGTAAAGCCATCACAAAAAGTTCAGTTATTAAGAACATGTGAATCAATAGTCAGCTGCATTTGACAGATGTCAACACGGCAGATAAGAGCATGCCATAAGACTTTCGTTATTCTTTACTCCTGTCCCACCATTATTGTAGATAATATGAAAGAAAGATATGAGAGAAAGGAAAAGCAGGAACAGAAACTATGTGAAAAGGCAGGTACTTAAGATTTTTTTATTAGAAACTTCGGCACTGACGGCGTTCTACAGAAGCATTGGGGCTGCTGAAGTGGACTAATGTCGTTCTAGTTTGTGTATCATCAATATAAAAGCCACAGGGTTTCAATAGTGCATTGATTTATGAAGACTGCTGACGGCACCTTTGCAGTACATGCGCCTTGTGTGCTCTATCACTGATATTCTTATACGGACTGCTAGCAGCATAGAAAAACACGTCAGCTCACAGATTCGTAGGCATTGTATGTTCCGTAATGCACAGCGGTAGCACCAGGAGCTCTGTAAGCAGCGAATACTGCACCCGGGTATCCAACTTGGTTCGTGTGGTGGTGATTGAGCGCGTGGCATTGAACCACGAGATAGACGAGCAGCACTTGCACCTGTGGTTTGAGCAAACTTCGGCATTCTGTTTACTCCAAACCGAGTAGCATGTTGATGCTGTACAAAATGTAAAGATGAAACCTTCCCTTGGAGCTCACTACATTTCGTAATACAAAGCAACACATATCAAAATGGTAATCATGAAGTCTCAGATATAATTATTATAGTTGTCACCCCAATGCAGGACTAATGGAGGACATTGCCCGCGATAAAATCACTCAGAGTTTGTAATATGTGCTTCGTACAATCTGCAAAGGATAAACGTGCATGAGGACGTTTATAGCGCAAACATCTCACACTTGCTAGATTACGCTCTACAATATTGAGGCTTTCATTTCAGCACATTTCCCAGCAACATTTGCTGTTGTGCTCGGTATTGCCATCGTGAGGCGTTCTAAGCCCCCCCCCCCCCCCCCAAAAAAAAATGTTTCACTTCAACTTCACAGTGAACATTCGCCATTTCTCGAAAAACATGATTACTTAGAAAGCAGTGCACAACGACAAGCACAAAAGCAACTTGAGCATTTTTTGCTTGTCGTCGTGCGCTGCTCCATAAGTAATCATGAACCATCACCAACTCACCCAACTTTCGACATAACTGATCTCCAAAAACGTAATAGATGCTGCTGTCAACAAATGCTAGGTGCATTGTAAAGATACTATTAAGAGTGCTCACCCCCGGTGACATTTCGAATGTTCTGGAGCTGGCAGACCAGAGTGGACAGTCGAGCTCGTATCCTGCGAGGGAAGCTTATGTGAAGGCGAATGCCTCCTCGTGGTTTTATATTGTGCGTTTTATAGTGCCGTCAGTGACACCTGTCTAGCTTTTGCGTGCACGGGACCCGGCATTGCAGCGTGCTTTGTTGTTTCGCAGTGTCCTCCTTGCTTTCGCGTATTGCAAAACAGTAGTGTCATGGCATGCCATGCAGCAGGAAGTCGGTTTTTACGTAATTGTCATTCATGACTCGTTAGGAAGCCTGCAGGGTCGCGCAAATAGAGAACGACCCGTCGCAATAGAGTAAATGTTGTTGAAATATTCTTTAGATAATATTCCCCTCTACCAAACAATGGTAATTATTCTTTAAAATTTCTACAGCTTCCGGCAATTGAAGTCCGAAACAGGCATTCAAGTCATTTATTCAATTTATGAAGTTATATTACATTTGCAACACTTTACTCCGAGTGAGATCTTAGCACACTCGCAAAAACACACAAAACAGAAAACGCAGAGATAGTGTTGCATATTGAAGACGTCAAGACAACTTTATTGCATAGGTTGTTGGCCAAAGACAAACAGAACTTATGGTACAATATTATATACCAGCAAGCATTGCTGCCAACTTATAAATTTTACGGTGCTTTCCACCTCTTCTTCACTGTTACAATAAATGAAATTGCTATATGAAAGAGGCAGCAACAACGCAGATTTGTTTGTTTGCTTTTTTGACATATACATATCCCAAATAGCATAGTAAAAAACGGTGCTGTAGTTAAACAGTTCAAAGGTATGCAACGCTTTCCATACAC